CGAAGGCCCGGGCCCGGCAGCCGCCGCCGAGGGGGTTGGCGGGGAGACGGCGCAGAGACCCGAGCAGAGCTTGATCGGCGGCGGCTCAAGTTTCTGCGGCCGCGGGCGGCTGCGGCTCCATCCCGCGCGGCCCCTCCCGCCTCAGCAACCGACCCCCCGGCCCGGCCCCCACCTCGGCCGGTGAGACCCGGAGCATCGCGCGAGGCCCAGCCCGGTCCGGTCCGGATCCCCTTCCGCTGCTCCGCGCCCGCCAGCCGGCCCGCCTGCCTCCCTCCCCTCGAGCTCCCGCTCCAGCTCCTGTTCCCTCCCTCTTGGCTGCTCGATCCTCGCTCCCTTTTGTTGCAAATAAACTTTGTGGCAGAGGAAAGGGGGCGGGGGGCGGGGCCTCCACCCCAAAGAGGGGGTGGGCTCCCCGCGCGCCAAAGGCTGGGAATCGGGAGTAGGGGGTGGGGAGGGAAGCGGGGAGGAGCCAGAGGGGAGGATGAGACCGCGGCAGCGACCCTCGCGGCCCGAGCTGCCCCCGAAGGACTCACTCCGACTCCGCCGCTCTGAGTGCGCTCAGCTCCGCGGACGTAGAGCGGGGACGCTGCACCCCCTGCGGTCAAACAGCTCCTGCCCAGGGACCAACATGGCAACCTCGGACCACACACCCGTGCACACGGATACTCAGGTACACGGCTCTCCAGGCGGGGAAGGGGCGGGGCTCGCGCCAGGGGGAGTCGTGGGCGCCGGGGCGAACTCGGCTCGGCCGCTCCCCGCCCCGCCTTTCGCAGCGCCTTTCTGGGCCGTCGGAGAGATCGCGTTGGATTGCGACCCGCCACCTCTGCGGTCCGTCCAGCTCCGAGGTTCCCCCAACCAGTCCCACGCCTGTGACCACGCCCCCGCCCGCTCTCAGGTTTCCAGCTGCCCGCCCGGCGCCGGGCCTCCTCCTCCTTCCCTTGAGCTCCAGGGCACGTGGCTCTTCCGCCCTCTACCGGCCGGGTTTGCCCACCCCCCCCCCCTGGAAATCCTGGGCAGGTAAATCAGCACCCACCATCCAGAACCCCTCGGAGGGTAGGAAAGACCGCTTCCTTTACTTCCTTTCAGTTGCTTCCTAGTTCCTTCAGGAGCCTTTTAATTTTTATTTATTTATTTATTTAAAATATATTTTTATTGATTTCAGAGAAGAAGAGAGAGATAGAAACATCAATGATGAGAGAGAATCATGGATCGGCTGCCTCCTGCAGGCCCCACACTGGGGATCGAGCCCGCAACCCCGGAATGTGCCCTTGACTGGAATCGAACCTGGGACCCTTCAGTCCGCAGTCCGACGCTCTATCCACTGAGCCAAACCAGCCAGGGCCTGGAGCCTTTTAAAAATTAATCCCTTCACAAAGTGCACTCCCTCCTCCATCCTCACGTACCGAAGGAGCTTCGATAGGACCGCCCTTGACTCGCCACAGCCAAACCTACAGCTGCTCCACCCTCCTTGACAGGAAAGGTGTGGATCGCTTCTCCCTCCTACCTCTCCCCCAGGCCTCTGCTCCCAGTCTGGTTTGGCAAGTCTCGCGTCCTAGGGAAAACTGGGGCTTTCCCTTCCCCGCCGGCCTCTACCAGGTCCCATTCATTTTCCCTGGCCCAGTTTAAATGCATGACAGCGCTGCATCCGAGTGGACGAATGGGGATTTGTGCAGCGTCTTGGATGTATTGGTAATATTATTTCATTTATTTAGTCCTTGAACCACCCTTGGAGGTAGATATTATTACCCCTTCTATGGGTCATGAAGGAGAAGTAACTTTGACCACCGGTGTTACAGTCAGGAAATGGCAGCGACTGCGATGACTCAAATTCAGATTTCAGGAGCTTCAAACACCATGTTCCTCCAGACAGCCTTTCCTGGCCCCAGCAGTCTCCTCCTCCTGGGTTCTGGGCTCACCCTCCCCAGGAGCAGAGGATCCTTCTGGTCCCCTCAGCCCAAGAGGACTGAGGCTGGGCCTAAGATGGGAGGACCTGGGAGCAGGAGGCCCTGGTCCAGATGAGAGGGGCAGGGATGGGCAAAGGGCAGGATGGTAGACACTGGAGGGATTGCCTGTGACCGCATGAGAGAAGTAGGGCTCGCCCAGGCCCCCGGGCCCTGCTTGCTGCTTCCCTGGGGTTGTGGAAAGTCTCTGCAGGGAGAAGAAAGCTCTTTCTCTGTGACCTGCGACCAGCCTCTTCACTGTGAGTCCCTCACTGCAGCTGTGTCTCACTTCTGCCTTGAAGGGGGCAAGCACGTTTTTCTCTCTTTACTGGGAAATTGATGACCAGGAAGCAAGCCCTGCCTGGCCCAGTGCCGCTCGGCCCTTGCCTTGCTGTGTGACCTTGGGTAAATCCCTGGCCTCAGTTGCCACATCTGACAAGTAGGGAGTGGGTCTGGCCAACTGTCTGCCTCTATTTGAAGTCAGACTCTTGTCTCTTCTAGAGTTT